CGACCCCCACTTCATCGTCCATCTGCCCAGGAGGAACCTGGACGTCTGCTTCAACATCGACTCCAAACCGGGTCACATCCTCAGCCTGGTGTCCGACCCTGGAACAGGTGCTCCGGTTACCGCGTCTGTTTCATGTGTTTGTCCCAGATCGGATTCGCTTTTGTCGAATTTTCAGTTATTTAACCCTCCCACTGTCTTTATGGGTGACCCCACGAGGAAAGTTGACCATTGAACAGGGTTGATGGTTTATCCCTTGAGGTCCACGTGGCAGGGGTGAGGTGGTGCTCACTCCACACCCCTGCCACGTGGACCTCAAGGGATAAACCATCAACCCTGCTCAATGGTCAACTTTCCTCGTGGGGTCACCCATAAAGACAGTGGGAGGGTTAACTAAAGTTACATTTTTTGTACTCTACCATAGAATTATGTCAGATTTTAGTAATTCAATTCAAGTTTATTTATAAAGTGCCAAATGATGACAAGAGTCGTCTCAAGGCTCTTCACATAATAAACATTCCAATTCAGGTCAGTTCATTAAGCCAATCAGAAATAATGTTTCCTATAAAAGGAACCCAGCAGGTTGCATCGAGTCACTGACTAGTGTTAGTGACTTTACAACAATCCTCATACTAAGCAAGCATGCAGCGACAGTGGAGAGGAAAACTCTCTTTTAACAGGAAGAAACCTCCAGAGGATCCTGGCTCAGTATAAGCAGCCATCCGCCAGTTGTTCAGTTATAGATTGGAAATTTTTCTAAATCTTTGCATTTAACCCGTTTTACTGACATTAGTCAACGTTTGAGCCTCATTTAAAGGGATGTTGTGCCATTGTTATTAAATATGAGCTGAAACTTTTGTTTTCCACAAAGATCGCCACACAACAAGCTGTTTGGATACAAACAGAGTCATTTTTCGTCCTTCTCACTGTCAAAAAAGGGAAACCTTCATCTGATGGACGCCAGTGATGTCACTCTCTTTGGCCTCCTTTTTAAAGGTGTCGTGGTCAACGGCCAATTGATCAGCACCAAGCAGGTGCAGAAAAACAAACTGAGAACCTACTTTGGTGTCATCTCAGTCTTCTACCAGCCAGAAGGCATCAGCGTCACAATCAGCACCGACCGCATCACCATGACCCACGGCAAAAACAGGAACTTGTTCACCTGGAGGGCTTCTGCTGAGATCTCCCAGCATGGGTAAAACCCGTCTCTCCTTCAGCTACTCGTCTCCATGGAAACAGCTGCAGCATCAGATGAGCTTTGACTGCTTCCGTTTCAGGGTAAGGATCTCCATCGTCAGGAACTCCCATGTCATCATCACCGTTACTGAAAACATCCAGGTGGAAGTGATGCTTCACCGTGTGTGGAGGAACCATCCTGTGAATGTTGACTTCCTGGGGATTTACCTCCCCAACAACAACCAGTATTCTCCACTGGCTCATGGGCTCATAGGTAGGCGAGAACTCACGCTAACATCCAGATCCTGAATCTCTGCCTCATGATTTTGTCCACAGACAAGACAGCTTCCAAAAACTCACAGATTTAGGTGTTAATGGGTTTTATTTTTTTCTTAATCGGCTAGAAAAATAAACCCTGAAGGACTTGTGCCACGCCAAGAAACATAGACACAAAAAGAGGATGTTGAGATTAAACTCTAAAAGTTAAAGGCCTCCTAGTTCAGCAACAACCCGAGGACGCCAACCCCATCAAACTCCCAAAGCTGCCGCTTTTTACTCTCTTTTCTATTTATAGTTTTCCAGCCTTAATAAATATGAGACTTTTATTCTGAAGGAGGGGCAGCAGTAGCTCAGGTGGTAGAGCGGGTTGCCTCATGATCGGAGGGTCATGGGTTCAATTCCAGCTCCCGCCAGGGGTATCCTGCTGTCGTGTCCCTGGGCAAGACACTTCACCCAACTTGCCTGTGTTAGTGGTGGTCAGAGGGGCCGACGGCGCCAAATGTCAGCCTCGCCTCTGTCAGACCTCCCCAGGGCGGCTGTGGCTACAAGTAGCTTACCATCACTAGAAGTGTGTGAATGTGAGAGTGTGTGAAAGCGTCTTTGGGTGTCTAGAAAAGCGCTATATAAGTTCAATGCATTATTATTATTATTATTATTATTATTATTATTATTATTATTATTATTATTATTATTCTGCAGCAGAAGTAGCTTAAAGCGTCACCTCCTAACAATAAATGTTTCTAATTGTTAAAATTTACTAATCCAGTCGGCTTCAGACGACGGGGAGACTGTGGCACAGGAGTTAAGTGCTCGCCCTGTAATCGGAAGGTTGCAGGTTCGAGCCCGCTCAGTCTGTCGCTGTCGTTGTGTCCTTGGGCAAGACACTTAACCCACCTTGCCTGCAGGTGGTGGTCGGAGGGACCGGTGGCGCCAGCGCTCGGCAGCCTCGCCTCTGTCAGTGCGCCCCATGGCAGCTGTGGCTACATTGTAGCTCATCCCCATCAGTGTGTGAATGTGTGTGTGAATGGATGAATGACTGATTATGTTGTAAAGCACCTTGGGGGGTTCCAGGACTCCAGAAGGCACTATATCAAGTGCATTTACCATTCAGAGGCACAATGAGCTTCGATTAATCGGTTTATTCTTGAAAAGGCCTATTTTTGATGTTATTTTATCAACATTTCAACGTAACTTTGCCATTCTTTTTCTTCAATAAAGCACGTATGTGCTTTGGTAGGATTCAGGTCAGGATGTAGAGGTTATGAATAAATTAAAAAATATCAAAGTTGAAAAAGTAAAAACAAAATCCACCACCTACTGGCCATTTGTAGTGCTAGTGTCCTCGATGTTTGTGAGAGTGGGGCTCATGAAGCTTTTATCCGGTTACTCAAGTACAAAATGAACAGTTCTTTTCCAAGGACTCGTCCCTCATCGTTCACTTTGAAGAGCCGTTCAAAAGACTCTACTCATTCGGGAACGTCACACATCCAGCAGCTCAATCTGAAACACATTTGTGATAATGACTTTGCAACTTTAGTGTGTCGTTGTAAAGTCTGTAGATTGTTTACATCAGCAGCGAGACTCGAAAACAACCCAGGAGATTAAGCTGAAAATACACCAGCACCCCCTAGTGGCTGGTTTCAGTAAAGGTTTTACACCTCAGATCATTCTGTTATATTTGTGAAGCATTTTCATTCAAATATTTGTTTTCTTTTACATTTACTTATGTATTCCAAAAGTCTCCAAGAACACGAAAATATGTGATGCTTGGGTTTCACTTTTCAACAAAAGTGGGCGGAGACTCTTCATCTACCTTTTTTCTCTCCGGGAGCCTCATTCTGCTAGCCTACTAGTGATGTGTCAGTCGCGAATGAACCGGCTCTAAGAGCCGGCTCAATTAAGTGAATGATGGGAGCCGGCTCGTCATTGGGAGCCCCCCACCCCCACCCCCCCTGCTTTGGTGAAAGCCACAGGTGATTGGTCAACATGTGTAACTGCGTGTCCAGACTGTCCACACACAGAGCAGTGGGGGGCGGGGAAGAGGGAGGATCAGACTCTGGGTGTGTCCTATTCCACGGGCAGGATGCTTATGAGTACGGGTCCTCGCCGGTCCAGCAAGGCCGGGTCCTTGCCAGACCGCTAAGACCGGAACCCAGCGGCTCTGAATTCGGACAGTCTAGCCTTCACCTCTACGGTGGCCCGTAGGTCCCGTCACAGCCGTGGCGGCAGCTACACGTAAAGGAAAAATGCTAAAGCTAGCAAAAATGGAGCAGGAATATTAAGGAGCTACAGCAGCTTCACGCCCATCAGCAGCGTTTGTTCAAAACCGTTTTCAGGTAAAGTAACTTTGTTACGAGTCTGCTTCTAGACCTGCAGAAAGAGAGAAGAAAAAAAAATAAATAAAATAAATGGGACACAAAAACAATACAACAAGATCAAGTTATCACTGCGTCAACTTGATGACGAAATATATAATCAACATTGTTTAACTGAACAATCACAAGATAATAAATCATAGTGCATTTAGTGCCCACCAAAGTCTTAAGATATGTGTTGAACGTGCCCAAGCCCATACTTTTGAGAGCACCATGTGAGCACCTGTGTGTGTACACGTGCTTGTTTATGTAAGGTTTCTCTATAGGAGCATCCAATGGAGAGTGTGAGGGGCCACAGATCTGCCCCTAAAGATGTGTAGGAGACGGAGGGAGCTCCAAGTCCCAGAGATCCAGGAGTTGCCCCAGGGCACAGGAACCCCAGGGAGACTGCAACCAGAAAAGCCCCTGCCCCCCTCGAAAGGCGCAGAGGATCGCCCTGGGGGGCCACAACCAGCAGCCGGCAGAGTCCCGGGAGATATCGGCGGCAATCCCACAGGCCCGCCCGCAGCCTCCCACCCTCTAGCCGGCCGAGCCCGGGACCCAGTGACCCAGGACCTAGGGGTGACCACCCCCACCGGGGACCCAGCAGAGCCCAGGGACCCAGACCCCGCCAGGCAGCCACCGAGATTGGTCAGGCAGATGCCAAAAGTCTTAAACGCCACGACCCAGGCAGACCAAGGCCCCACACCCCACACCAGGTGTGGCAGGGGGAGGGGAGATGAAGATCTATATCATCAAAAGAAGTCCCAGGAGAAGGGAGGAGTCAAAGGCCCCACCTGACTTATACAGTCATACACAAACACAGTCACACACTCCCTCCCTCATGCTCACACATGCACATACAACCAAAGATTTACAAAAACGCACTTCGGACACCCACTCATGCTCCCCATACACACCCTATTCACTCTGGTCCCGGTACTGCTGCACACGGGGTACAACCATTACCGGTTCCCAAAGTTCGACCCTTTCTGCTGGGGTGCTGATGATCAGGCTCCCCCGCCCAATGCTGAGCACAGCAACCCACCACCCTAGACCCCAACCAGACAGCCGGATCTCCCTCCTAGCCTCCAGCCCCAGGAAGCCAAGCGACAGCAGAGGTGTGCTAAGACCCCGAGTCTCCCTCCGCCTGCTCCAATATGGTGTTAGTGAGAGTTGATGAGGTGTATTCCATGGCTGTGGTGTGCGGGCAGTGCAGGCATCGTCTGGCCTATGCCAGTTGATAACATCACACCACCCCACTTGCACCCACAGCCCTCTGTGTCTACGTGCATTTTAAAATTGGAAGTGGGCACCGGCACTTGGGATGAGGCTGAGAAATCCCCCTGCCAAATGCCGTTGAATGTGCTCACTCCCAAGGCCCTAAGTGTGTGTTTGCGTGGAATGTTGGTGGTGGTGCAAATAAAACTGGGGGGGGGGGGGGGGGGGGGGTTGTCACAGGAATGCGGAAATGGGGTCCATACACGCACTCCCTGACTTGTCCACCCCCCAAGGTCCTATGTGCATGTTTGTGTGATGATGTGAGGGAGCAGGAAGAGAGAAATGTGTGGGGATGGGGAGGAATGGCTGGTTGGGCTTAGCCCTCCAGGGAGCCAGCTCCCCCACTGGCCCCAATAGGCACTTCTGTTGTCAAAATGCCACCCAGAGCATGGAGACCCCAGCCCATCCTGCCAGGGCCCAAAGCAGCAGCATCACAGACCCTCACTGAGTCCGAGGGCACCAACCCATCCCCACCCCAGCAGAATATCTACTCCCATCCCTGCATTTGCATAACTTCCGGATTATAAAAGACATAGGACATCCAGGTAAGATTGGGTCCTCCCCCTCCTGGATTTCCCCCTCCCCTGTGATGGGATAGCAGTGGAGCCAAGGTCTACCTGAGGCCCCTGAACCCGAGTCAGGTACTCCTGCATGTTCTTGCCTTCTCCCTAGCAGCATACATGTCAGGACCCGACCCCCAAGGCCCCGCCCAGATCCCCCCATGGGGCCGATCACCCCCACACCCCGAGCCCCCAGGTCCCCACCCAGACCCGCCCAGGGGCAATGCAGCTGCCGGGCAGTGACCCATGGCCACCGCCAAGACCTCCAAGGGGCCCCACTCACAACCACCAGTAGCCCACCCCCTGAGGAAACCCAAGCACCTCCAGAGCGGGGCAACGGCCCCCCAGTCCCAGACACCCCAGTGAACCCACCTCCAGGGAACGTCCAGATACTCCAAACTCAGACCCTCCACCCCCCTCACCCACATCATCCCGCAGGACAATATCAATGGTCCCCCATCATCGCTATGTGATGGAACTGGTCAAAGGAGCCCAGAGAGATTGATTTGAAGTGGAAGCAGAGGCTATGTCAAGTGTAATATGATAACTGGTCAAAGGAGCCCAGAGAGATTGATTTGAAGTGGAAGCAGAGGCTATGTCAAGTGTAATATGATCTAACAAAAGATTTCTATAGAGCTCCGGACCCCACGTGACTATCAGTTGTAGACGCCATTTTGGCAGGAAAAAAAGGTAAACAAACACGGATCGTAAACATGAACATGAACGGGATCAGCTTGGATTTTACTTCGTCTGAGTTTACTTCACACTTTAAAACCGAAGAAATCATTTTTTATAGTCAG